TTGACGTTGTGATGTTGACATCTGGAGTTGTCATGTATTTGTGTTGAACTGCGTAATATTCGTGACGGTATCGATTTTCCTGTAAAAAACAATCTTTATTTCGTTTTGGGCATTTTCATGACTTTTTTTTTGGATAGTTGGTCTGTTGTGTTTTTACTAATTTAGATTGTCACACTCGTCACAACAAGATAGGAATAGATGATTCACAGAAACGACAGTATATTGCCGATGAAAAAGCTTCACACGATGGCGGTGAATTTCATTCATAAACACATCGAACACAATATAATAGCATGAAAATACAGTGCCATCGATATTGTAAAAAAATTCGCTGAAAAAAATGGAAAATCTTACCTCGAAATAAAGTTTAGTCTAGCGAGTAACGCACAGCAACACACAGTAAACGATAACCTCAAAACACTTCCGGCTTATTGGCCTCGTTTTCGTTTCGCCTTGATGACGTTGAGGTCATAGTTCGCACAAGCGCCCTCTTTATGAAAAGGGTGTATACTGTGAACTTTTTGTCACAGCTTTTTAAATTTCCTGTTTTTAGAACAACTCCATAGAATGATTCTGCAGTGGCAGTTTTAGTTAATGAAAAAGATTTGAAAATATTAGTTTTACATTACACTGTAAGAATATACACATTGTACATGTAGTTGTGAAAAAATAGGCCTAATGATTCAGGGTAACTTGTAATAATTCACTTCACACTAGAAATGTACATAGCAGACAGTATGATTGTTTATTTAGTTATATTATTTATTTGTCAACTTACATCCACTCTGGGTTAATTTGCATGAATCTTGATATTCCCGTCTGTGCAGATTGAACATCAATATGAATATGTACAGGTCCTACAGATAATGGAATCACAATGGTGTTACTTCATGTTAAGTACATATCCAATAGAAATACATTAAGACAGAATTATTGCATGTGAAATTCACGTAACGATCTTTACAATAACTTAATTATATAGACAAATAAGTATCATCAACCTAACTAGAGCTCTAGAGGAATTGTAGTTGTTGGTGAGTTAGACCAAAACACTGCTCACATGTAATATGACAGGCAATACTGCAAACCATTCAATGTTCATACTATTTCATTTTTTGCCAATAAAGGTGATGATGCCCCCAGTAATATTCACAGTTACAAATTTACTATTGTCCGAATGAATAGCATGGTATCACAAACTTGATGTAAACATAACCACTGCATGATTCTACTACAGAAGTCCCATGCTTGAACTCCGGTAATACAAAACAATATGGCGGGATGTTGAATTACCATAGAGGGCGCACTTGCATACATAATCACTGAACAGAATACTAGTATGTGACGAGGTGATGGCCAAATAAACAGATCTTGGATGGCAAAAATGCAAATTCAGAGAAAATTTGTCTTGCAAAATTACTGTGGTTTGTTTACAGCAGTTGGGTGTGGATTTACACATAATTAATTGTGCGTAAACATTCCCAATACTGACCTGATGACATTTGTGTATGGTGTAACTGCCAAAGTGCTTGACCTCCAGGATAATTAATACTTGACACGTAGAGGAAACCAGATGAAATCAATGTATTCAGAACAAAGTGCCCAATAACACCAATGGTGAGAATCTTGTATACCACAGACTTGTGAAGATTATTTAATCTGTCAATAGAAAATATATTAATGCAGTTTGGCAGTACTAGGAGTATATTTTTTTCAGTGAGTGTAACAACCAGGAAACAGTAGGCACTTGACTGACTGAGCATGGAGCAACAGTATGCACCCATCGACTGACCATGGAGGCAACAACATGCAGCTATTGACCATGAATCATTAGTCTACACATATACAATCGGAGTAACAGTCTGCACCTATTGACTGACCATGTATGAGGGCATCAGTATTCCCCTATATACTGACTGATCATGGGGCAACAGAATGCACCTATTGACTGACTAGTCACGGGCAACAGTATGCACCTATTGACTGACTAGTAACAGGGCAACAGTATGCACCTATGGGCTGACCATGGTTGTGAGGGCAACAGAATGCACCTATTGACTGACTGATCACGGGGCAACAGTATGCACCTATTGACTGACCATGGATGGGGGCAACAGTATGCCTCTACTGACTGACCAAAGGGGCAACAGTATGCCCCTACTGACTGATCATGGGGGCAACAGTATGCACCTATATACTTACTGATCACGGTGCAACAGTATGCACCTATTGACTGACCATGGATGGGAACACAGAATGCACCTATTGACTGACTGGTCATGAGGGCAACAGTATGCCTGACTGACCAAAGGGACAACAGTATGCCCCTACTGACTGATCATGGGGGCAACAGTATGCACCTATATACTGACTGGTAACGGGGCAACAGTATGCACCTAATGACTGACCATGGATGGGGACACAGAATGCACCTATTGACTGACTGGTCATAGGGCAACAGTATGCACCTATTGACTGACCATGGGTGGGGGCACAGAATTCACCTATTAACTGACCATGGATGGGGGCACAGAATGCACCTATTGACTGATAATGAAAGCACACATGTACAAGACTGTTACGAGCATCATCCAAATGAATCAAATTATTAGCTGAGAAAAGTTCTATAAATGTAGGCGTCTCACTAGTGCTTACAGTATATTTCACAAATGATTTCATCTGTTTAAAGCTGCTGACTGGTTTTTTGTGTAGATCCATAAATCCATGTGACTGGATCCTGGAAAGATTGGATAAAATAAAGACAACTTACATAAATGTAATAGCTCTTGCTGCTGCTATGTTTAACACAGGGAACACATAAATAATAAACCGCAGCTCTTTATGTGGAAGAATGGAATACAGAAATACAAATCCAATAGTTGGTAGAAGTAATGTTCTCACACGGCTGTCAACATAGCCTCCAATCGGGACAAAGAAAAGACTTGTGCCCAAAGCTCGTGGAATTGCCGAATAAAAATACCACAAGAAAGGAGATGTCTGTGTTGATGCAATAAGGAACTGCTAACATAGTAAATTTTATTATTTTTTGGGCATAATTTTACTAAATATGTTTACTGTGTACTGATGGTAAATGTAGGATCTGTATGATTTCCAAGCTAGCTGAAATCATTCCTATTGAGAGCAGTGGTTTGTATGGGTTATATAGATATATATGACACAAAAGGATACTCCCCAGTTGGAGCTCTTGTTCATTA